CAGAGCATATACCAGTGCAACAATTTCTACATTTATAATTCAGTGACATTGACTGAATTCATCTAGTTGTGCAATTATTCTTATACCCTCCTTTTCTGGGTTGATCCTACCCCACTAACATAAACCCACTAAGTTTGCTATCTAAGCTTTTGAGTTATTCTTGTCAATTTTATCTCATATAGACAGACCTTTAAAAGACACAATGCTCAAAGCAGACAGTCTTTTCTAGTTGTTATTATTTGATTTTTAAGAAGACTTTTGGGACATTTCTAGATTAAGGTTTGAAGATTATCTCAGGGTAATGGTTTTGGGGATTTATGTAGTCTCCATGGCTCCAGAAAGTCTGATTCCAAAGCAATGTTTACCTACTAATGACAACACCTGTATTTTCTGGGTAAGATCCATGAACAGGCACCATTAAAAAAAAAAAAAAATTATGACTACAGGTTCTAGGAATAACTTGACATTTGTCCTCTGTCTAACCTTCTCCAGAGAGCATGGCTGAGATAGAACCAGTGAGAATCATTTTCTTCAGGTGGTAAAGGGATGGGATACATACATTGTTAGCTTATTCAATCCAAAATCAAGTAGAAGGAATTGGTTGTGTTATGTAACCAGATGGGATTGTATCTGAGACTGCAGGGCCCAGGGTCAGCATTCTAGCAAGAACTGAGATTCAAGCAATTCAGAAAGGTCAGCCTAGGGAATTGCAGGGCTCATTATCCTGAGCAGTGGTTTAAAGACCATACAAACCTCTGGTACAGGCAGAGCCCTGGGGACAAGAGCTTTTCAATCCACACAGCCAGCTGTTAACTTGGGTTTGACTTATAAGGAAGCAGTTAGAGTGCAGACTGGACAACTATGATGGTCATCTGAGGATTGCTCATTTGGCTGGCTGGACACTGTGAAGAAGAGCTGGTGGGATGAATGGCAGGGTAATGTTTTTCTTCATTGAAATCATGCAGCTCCTGACATGCTATGATTTAAACTTTCCAGACATATTTATTTAAAGCTTCATGCAAAGCTTTGCTTTTCTTGCCATCTTTGATACCATTTTTATGCTTGCTGTCTTTACCCGCCCTTCCTCTTAAAATTATACATAATACTAATATTCTTCAGTTTTAGATTTAAGACATCTTTTTAATTTTGTTGCTATAGGTTTATACATTTAGAAGCATTTATGGAGCAATGATATTCTTACAGCATCAGGGAAGTCTAGGACTGGCCATATCTTAGTAAAAGGTCATAAGGTTTAAATACGATATGGTTTAAATAAGGTAATGGATTCATGTTAATACTCTCTTAAGACTAATTCTACCACATTAATCTTTCCTATATCCTACTTTCTATTACTTTTATTATTTTAGTTTTTTTTTTTTTTTACTAAATACTCATTATTTTCCTACCCAATGCAATGTACAATACAGTATTTCAAAAAGATAAAAATTGTCTAGAAAGAAAGATTATGTCCTTCTTGGTAGAAAATTTCATCACTACTACATTGTAGTTCGCAGTCCAGTGCCTGTACTGCAGAGCTACCACAATTCCACAAAGCATAGTACATATTTCCCAAAGGAATTTACATGGAATTTATAGTCTAACTTGCATATCATAACCATTATTGATATAGTCCAGTTTCTCCTTTAAGAAAAACACTTTTAGTTCAACACAGACAAAACTTAACAGAGAAAATACCAAAATGCAAACTAGTCTAATGCTTAAAGAAAAAAAAAAAAAAAAATGCAATGACTTGTACAACTCCCACAAGAAAAACTTTGCTTTCTCAGTATTTTCCTAATGTTGTTGTTGTTAAGTGCCATCGAGTTGGTTCCGACAAATAGCGACCCTGTACAGGGTTTCCGAGGGTGTAAATCTTTACGGGAGTAGAAAGCCTCATCTTTCTCCCGCAGAGCAGCTGGTAGTTTCGAACCGCTGACCTTAAGGTTCGCAGCCCGATTCGTAACCACTACGCTACCAATAGGCCTCTCTATTTCCCTGTTTAGAAAACCTATACAATAGCTATTTAACTTTTCATGTTGTTGTTATTAAGTGCCGTAGAGTCAGTTCCAAATCATAGTGACATTGTATAAGGTTTCTGAGGGGCAGCTGGTGAGTTTGAACTGCTGACTTTGTGGTTCATGGTCTATAGCTGATCCTATAACACCACACCAGGTTCCATAACAACCTTTTATTATGTAAAGAGTTTGATTGTATACTCTTTTCCCTCTATGCTGCATTGGGCCCTTTAATAAAAAAACTTCCATTTCTTACTGAATATTCTCAACTCCTTTGGTTCTTAAAACATTTTATTACATTTATAATATCTCTAGGCTATTTTTAAGTTGTAAGGCATGAGATACTTGATTGTGCCTAATCCTACTACTAGAGTTCTGGTACGGCACCGTGGAATAATGCACTGGACCGCAAGGTGGGCTTGTACTGCAAGGTTGGTGGTTCAAATTCACTAGCTGCTATTTGGAAACCTATACAGAGTCACTGTGAGTTGGAACCAACTCCAAGTCATTTCACAATAACAACAACAACAATCCTACTGCTAGCAATAAGATAAAGAAGTTGTCATTCTTGAATATTACTTTCCTGGCCTCTAGAGGGGTTTGACCTAAAAATAATGTATTGTGGTGGGAATGAGGGACGTATCTTCATTCATGATGATGAATATAATACTGCTTTCATTATTCACTGCCATACCCCAAGTTTCTCACTGTAATTAGAGACTTCAGAAAAAATAGAAGCTGGAAGATGTTTCTACCAAATATGACAATTTCATTAACTACCAGAGTGAATTTCCTATATTGGTTGACTGTCTCATTATCTAAAGGCAGAAAATTCCTCAGGTCAATGAGAAAATTTTAGAATAACTAGAATTCAGCCCTTACCTTGACTATAATTCAAACTACCAAGGTACAGGGTTATCTATTTCTATCTTATAAAAATATAAAGATATAATCACTATTAGTCAAAATCCTATTGCAGTAACTTCCTAGGAACTATCCAAAAATAGTTATTATACTGAAAAATTTAAAGGTTGTAATTACATTAAAATGTGTGTAAGAAGATAGGGCATAAAAGTATTTTGTTTTATAGTAATTTTGTTTTACATACTTATTTAATCCATACTTCAAATTTGTTTAATTTTAATCTTGTCTGTTTTAATATAAATTTAACTTTTCTCTATATACATCCTGAAGGAGTTCTTGTAGTGTAGCATGTTACAACTTGGGCTGCTAATCTCAAGGTCAACAGTTTGAATCTACCAGCCACTCTGCTGGAAAAGGATGAGGTTTTCTGCTCCCTTAAAGATTTACAGTCCAGTCAACTCTATACAGGTTCATTACAGGTCAGAAATGACTCCCAGGTACAAAACTACCACCATAGATATCCTTTTTAAATAACAAGTATACAGTACAGATTACCACTCTTTACGTATTAGCTCTTCACTTTGAAAACTAGTCACATCATTTATCAAGTATATTGTACAACAAAATTATAACAGTGTTTCGGTTTCTACCTTTCAGAAACCTGTTTTCAGTCTTTTTAAAACTTTGGTAGTTCTTTCTCAGATTTTTTCCAGATAACATCGAATGTTATCTCCACATGAAAATTTATAATACTTGGTATACTCAAGCAAGATTGCAACATTTTTAATAGCACAAAACTCAAATGGTGCTGTACTTATGACAGCAAATGAATTCCTATCCTATGTTAATTCATTTTGTTTTGTATTTCAGTTGATGCTAGATAGTGAGATGATTTCTTCCATTAATTAAGAGTTTAGAATCAGGATCACCAGTGTACCTGCTCTATAGGCAGGTGAAGAGGATGGCCACATATATGTGGTATGAGAAAAGCATCTAAAAAGTTTCCTGGACCCCAAATCTCTTTCTCACTTGAAGTGATGTCCTAAGAGATTTTTTTGGCATCAAGATTATTATTATTATTTTTCAAGTTCACTTTTCTTGATTCTCTATGTAAATTCCTGACACTCAAGTATGAATGAGTTTGTCAGAAAGTCTTTTCTGGATGACCTGAGAATGGATAAATTGGGGCAGACAAAAGAATTTTGTCTCACTTCATGTTTTTGTCTAAAGCTTGTTTTAGACAAGACACTCTAATCTAGATAGAGTGGAACCTGCTACTTAATCACTTCAATGGAAAAAGTGCATCAATGCTCTCTGACTTTTTACTTGTGATCCAAAGTACTCACATCCAATGCTGGGGATGAATGTTTAGCAGAAGAAAGACGACTGTCTTGATATATCATTTATTTTTTCTTAAAGTGGTTGTTGAGAATCCAGAAGCGCATAATTCTGATTTCTTTTTATTCTTTTCTATAAAATGGAACATGGTGGACAGCTTTTGTACATACCTTATAGTCTCTTATCTTCATGATTAGTGATACTATCCTATTCATTGTGAGTCTGATGCTTCCCTAAACTCTAAAATAAAGGTTTTATTACCTCTTAGAAAATCTCTAGATTTCCCTAATATGTGACCAGAGATAGTACGATTCTTTCTAATCCTTCTTATGTGTTTTAAATTTCCTAATACATACATTTATAAAATTGCTAACATTTGTTCAAAATGTTGCTTTGTAATTTACTAAGGATTTTTTAAAAAAATTCAATTTGATAAATGTGCGAACTCCTGATGTGGCGCTGTAAGATAAGCATTGAAGCACAAGGCCAGCTTGAACTGCAAGGTTGGCAGTTCAAACTCACCAACCGCTCCTTGGAAACTCTATAAAGGGTCACTATGAGTCAGAACCAACTGGACGGCACTTGACAACAACAACTATATTGTAAAGGAGCCCTGTGGCACAGCAGTTGAACATTGGACTGCTAACTGAAAGTCTAGTGGTTTGAACCCACAGCCACTCTGTGAGAAAAAGATGTGGCTACTCTGTAAAGATTACAGCCTTGGAAACACTTGGGACAGTTCTACTCTGTCCTTTAGTGTTGTTATGAGTCAGAATTGACTTGATGACATCACGTTATCAATGCAATAAACATTGTAATGAAGTGATAAGGTAAGTATGGAGTATTTTCTCAGCTTGCGAAATTTATTAAAATGTTGAGAAATTTATTAAATTTTTTGTGTTGCTCTCACCAATTTATGTGTGAGAGAAACAAAATCTGGGAGTCCTCCAATGATGGAAAATATTGGTATTTTGTTGTAGAGGCTTCTCTAGGGAGACATTGCATTTTACCTTGAGATTTTATATGAGTAGAGTTATAGATGATAAACTGGATTTTTACCTCCTGAGATATTTATTCTATTTGGTTCTCAAAATGAGCTTACAAGACTTTATCATTCCTACCTCAGGTTGAATAAACAAAGAATAAAACTCAGAGTGGTTTAATCTCTTGCCTGTGGTCACTCTATCAGTGGGGAGTAGAATGAAGTACAGACTTTAATACTTCATTCCAGAACTTCTTTCATTAAAGGGTCTTCTTCTTGCTCTCTATTTAAGAAACAGAATAATTCACCTTCATGTCCCTATCATTGATGTAAATACAATTTCAAAGCATTACAGAAATAAAAATTGTAAGAGACCCAAAATATTCCTTGGTGTGTTGCTGTAGGATAAGCACTCGACCACACAGTCTGTTTGAACCATAAGGTCAGCAGTTCAAACTCACCAGCCACTCCTTGGAAACCCCATGAGTTGGCACCGACTGGATGGCATGTCGACGGCAGCAGCAGCAGCAACAACAAATATATATATATAAAACTCTGATAGCGTAGTGGTTACGAATAGGGCTGCGAACCTTAAGGTCAGCAGTTCAAAACTACCAGCTGCTCCACAAGAGAAAGATGAGACTTTCTGCTCCCGTAAAGATTTACAGCCTCGGAAACCCTGTACAGGGTCGCTACGAGTTGGTTCTGACTCCACGGCATATATG